ATATTATAATGTCATCGTGCATAATAGTTATTTATGTATTAAGGGCATAATAAGGTTTTTATGGTCCGAGGCGCTATTTCGAGCCCGAGCGCGTTAGCGCGAGGGCTAGAAAAGCGTCGTAGGACCATAAAAACCAGTTATGCCAGCAATGCATACAAAACTTTATGCACGATTAATTTATTATTATTTTTAATATATTATTGTTTTTAAAGACGTTTACGTCAAAGAATTTTTGTTATAATTGTCATATTATAATGTCAACTGACATCAGTCAGTTTTAAAGTTTAAAGATAAATGAAATTGAGGAAGCAGCTGAAAAGGCGAAAAATTGCGGCCTGCTGCCGGTAAAATCAAAATCTTTATACGAAAAAACTTACTTAAAATATATCAAATGGTGTAACATTGTTGTTTTTAATTTTTGACGTTTCATTATAGCCCGCTGGGCCATAATAACGCCCGCGGGCTATAAAAAGACGTTTACGTCAAAGAATTTTTGTTATAATTGTCATATTATAATGTCATCGTGCATAAATTTGATTTAAATTATTTGACGTTATAACAACATACAATTACTACAAAAAACACTTTTAACGTAAAAACAATTATAATTAGGATAACTATTAATAATGCAATGATAAAAAGGAATTATAAGCTTTTGATCAAATAAAATATTGTTTTAAAACTTGGTATCAATCACAATCCACATTGCAGGTATACTCACAAATAAACTGTTTAGAGCGGGAATAACGCCTTGATAGATCAAGGCGGGAGCACAATATTATCGTAAGCCATAGATAACAAAGCGACACAATGTTAAATCGCAAACGCCATGTCTCGGAGTTGCTTACGATTATTTGTCAGGAACATATAGGCGCTTACGTTATAAATCGGTAACAAATTAAAAAGAAGAGGCGCTTACAATAATAAAAATATTCAAACTGACCAATATTAGATTCCAAAATTGGAATAACTATTATGTTAACATGTGCAGCTTATCGTAACTGACACTTTGATAAAATAAAAAGTAATTTAACAAAATTGTCGCTTACGATGTTTTGTCAAATAACCATCGATATATATTATATACATATATAAGTCATTGGCTACTCGACTTATGTGCAGAGAAAATGAAATCAGCCGATATTTAAGTTCAAAATCAACTCCTAAATAGCTGCAATGCAATTTCACCTGCATGTAGAACAACAATGCAAATGACCAATACACGCTCAAAATAAACAGACTGGGTACCTATTTGATAAACTAACAACGCTAATACGGGACACGTAAATTATCTTAGCGCCTGTAAGTTTACAATCAATGTGGACACAGGTAAATTTACGTAGGTATTTACATGACTCCCAATTACAAATTTAAACGGGCTATTTTATATAGTGTACATAATGTACCTACGGTAAGTACATTCCACAAAGTTTTATACTAATTAAATAAAGTACTTACCGATTTTTGGTTTAATTGAACCCACACAACACTATTTAACGCATGTATTGTTTACAAACAATTTCCTACAACTGTCAAAATTGAAAACTTTTGAATCACTGCCGCTAACTTGATTAGTTTAAAACAAAGGCGGGATATTTAAAATAGTTATTTCACCAGTAAATTTGTATTGCTTTATTTAAATGGTTATAATTTAATCTGGGCGTATTTCCTACTGGTGAGAAACTTATTTTTTATTTAATTTTAGTATCGTAAACCCCACTTTGCTTCATTAATTCTTTACGTCCAATTAACTTAATTTATTAATTATTAATTATTTTTATAAATGACAAATTACTCGGTCGCGAAGCAGGGTGTTTTGTTCCTGTGTAATTATTTTTCAAGACAAATTTACGATCACTTTTGCATCTAATTAACGTTGCGTGTTTTATGAATTCACGCTTATTCGGTTTCGGGCGTTTCTTGAAATTTCTATATAACGTTAAGTCGCAAATTTCAAGAAGGAAATGTTTACAAATTACAAATCTGACATTTGACAATTTAAATTTTTTTTATAAAATTTTGCCTGGGAATTTGGATTTTAGGTGGCAATTAAAGAGTTTATGGGCGGTTATAAACCCCAAATTATTTAATTAATGTTAAACAAACCGTAATTCTGTTTGTACGTTTCAATGAGTTATAAATTAACCCTGTCGCCTCTTACATAATGCTCATTTTAATGTGTACAAAACAAAACCATTTACGTATTAAAATAGTATATTATTATACGAAAGATAATGCGCATAATCTCGAGTGTAATACTATACTTTATCTACTCCTATACGCTAAAGATTCTGTTCTGTGCGCTAAAGAAGTATCGGGTTTTCGCAACGCGCGCGCCATCTGGTGGACTTCAAAAGCATTGCGTGAATTTAAGAATTGTCAACAATACATTTAAAGCATACTAACTGTATCATTTTTAAATAAATAGGTAGTTTTTTCACAAAAGAGAGGAAGGCAGAAGTCTTACTCGACAAATTTTGTTCAATTGCACAGCTGAATCGCGCACGTTATTTGTGTTTTACGTTGCAAGGAAAAAACTAAAAAACTGGTTTAGTACTCGATTTCGATTGATTATTCCTTATATCATTGATTAAGAAACTCAACGCTTAAATGCTTATATAGTTACGTTAGTGTGTGTATTTTATCTAAGGGATCATGGCGAATTATTGTGTTTTTAATTGTAAATACAATTCAAGAACTAAATCGTTGCATTTTCATGTTTTGCCGAAGGATCCAATTCGGTAAGTACATTTGTTGGTGCAGAATTAACTAATGATAACTTTACCTAATATAATTTATATTTAAGTTTGGACATTTTAAAGAAATTAGTAAAAAATAATTTTTGCACAAACATAACCTTGAAATCAACCATTTTTATATTTGAGTTCTCTAAAAAACGCCGACAACTGCATATTAAAGAACAAAATATACCTACGAATTCATGGCAACATATTATATATAATACATAATATAATGGTATATAAATTTAGCGTTGAGTGGAGACTTTAAAGAATTCTTAATCAACGCTTTTAATAATGCTAAATGCTGTTTAAATTTAGACGACTTATTTGTTTGACGATTATTACTGAATTGAAATGTTTACCCTTTTCACGTTAATCATTACTAAAATGTGTATTTATTGTATCTAATAGATACAATTTATATTTACAGGGACTGTATGAAATTTATTTCTTCATTCGTATTAACACTGTTTATTGGAAAACCGGTAAAAACTCAACCCAGGATTTCCTCTCGAAATACACCCAACAACACAACAAATCGAGCCACGGTTTTTTTTCGATATTTTTAACATTTTTCGGCTTTATTCTCAAAAACATTCGTTTGTAACACACGCGTTTGACAGCTGATTATCAAAAGTTGTACTTTTGTTACGATGATAACAGCCGAGTGGTGGCGCTACATGCATAGAAATATAATACATAATATTTTTCTATAATTAAATGCAAGACTAAATAAAGGAGTAGTAAATGATTTAAAAACGTAGACTTGTGAGTACTTAAAACTAATAAATTATTTAAAAATAAAAAGAAAAAGCATGTTTATTTTATATTTCTTCTTCTGTTTATGTCGGTGGCAATTAGCCGCAATTTATTAAGATTAAACCACCCCCGATACTTAAATTGCAAAACACGCTTCTTATATTGCCACATCAGTTATTGTGCATTTTGTAATCCTCGTTGATTTATTGCCCGGTCCTTCTCCATTATGACTATTTTCCAGACGCAATTAGGCGTAACGAGATCAAATTTTTTAGAGCTTTTTTTTTGAAGGGGGAGTGTTTCTTGTTAATCCAGTGGCGTGACAGCATGAAAGAGCAAATTTTAATGCGTTTTAGTAAAAAAAAAATATACTTAAATGTATACCTAAAGTTCATTTTTTTATCTGGACTGCGGCAACGTTGCAAATATAGGGTTTTGGTTAGTAAATACAGTTGTCAAGTTGGTCGCATTGATTAAAACAAACTAAGCTAGTTATAAATCTAATTGTAGTTATGTATAAATTATTGTAGGTTACATTGTGCAGTTGTCAAGTTGAGTTGTCGAATTTCGTAGTTAAAAATGCAATTAATTTGGCTAAAAAAGTAGTTAAATATAGGTTGCTTTACGGCCCAGAAGAGAAAGTATTCCTAGCGGATAATAATCTTCGCTTTGAAAAGAATTTATATAAAAGAAATTAAAATTTTTTGTGAACGTAAATGTTGTCCAATGGTGAATAATGTGAAAATAATGTGTGATGTAATATTTATAAAAGCAAATTCGTTACTTTTTTACTCCAAAAATGTCCATAAGGCGATGTACTTTTTCTTCCATCGTGGCATTTGGCATAATTTCATCAAAATGAAGTTTTGCCCTCAGAAGGGCTTTTACATTCGAATTCGTTGCTATTACTTTTGGCATAATTATCTTTTTATTTATAATTGACAAGTAAATTATCAATAATAAATATTATTGTCAATTTGACAGTGTGTTAATTAAATTCTTTAGCAGAAGTACCATTTTTAAATACTAAAAATACTAAGTCAAACTGGCATAAGCCACCAACCTAACAAAAAAAAATGAACTGTAGTAAAAATGACTCAATTTTTTTCCGAAAACAGCCTTTGTATTATTGACCAAGTGGTAAAAAAACAATATCCCACGTAAAATAATCTTGTATTTATTACAGTAAAACAATCATTGTAAAACTAAATCAGTACAGAAAAATATTAAATGGCTTAACACTTTAAATGTTATAACAAAAACAAAAATGCTTGACACAAGTCCTAACAAAAATAACAATAATATAATGTTCTAAAATGTACAATATTTAGCTACCTGCATTACAAAATTATAAAAATAAAAATCTTATTTACGCCAAACTTCCGATAAAAGTAAAATTAACGCTGTGCCAAATATAAACAGTCCCGCCGGTACAGATTGAAGGATTTGGTCACCTGAAAATTATTGGAAAGTGTATTCACAATATTTGTAGTTTTTTAACATGCTTATTAGGAAAAAAGCAATACCTATTATTGCTAACATTAGAATGGTCTAAAAGAAACAAGCTGTAATAATAAAATGAATTTAGGAAAATGTTAAATGTTAAATGTAGATGAACATGAGGTTTATGCAAAATAATACATAAAACACAAAGAGCATCTAGTGGAAAGTTTGGTTGAAAAGCAACATCTACTACCTGAAGGTGGCTCTCCAGATTCACCTAATCTTGGCAAATCTGCCAACAAAAATACAAATAACAGCCAAAAATTGAAATAAAAAGTGTTTGTAAAACATTTTTTTAGAATTATTTTAAGGGTGTTATGTAATTAATGTAATATTTTAAAATACTGAATACCTTTTGACATAAGGTGTAACGGAAAAATATTTAAAAAAATATTTTTCCAAAGATAAAGAATAGGCTGGTTCAAAATAATCAACTATTTTTTTTTCTGAAATTTCGCACTGAAATATGTTCACGATACCAAAAAAAGACACCTGTAAAAACCGGAGCTCTTAATTTTAATATTTAGAGGTCGCGCATCGAGAATTTCTATTTCCCATTTAAATAACATGGGAAATTTTGTTTTGTTTCTTTATAATTTTCTAGCTCACAAACTAATTAAAAGATTTTTAAGCGCGATATATATTCCTGTGGGAAATTGAACGCTCTACAAAAAATGTCTCTTATCATTTTTCGATAAACCAACGAGTTCAAAAGTTATTCAAAGTCGAAGTTAAATTTATATCATAATTGCATGTTTTACTTCAATTTTAGGCAAATTCATTAGTTAGTTTTTATCAAATATAAAAAAAAATCATTAAAAAAAATCAAAATTACCATGTTCAATAAGCCTTTTAAATTAATTTCACTGAAACACCTACTATTTTTGGAAAGAATTGATTAAAATTCTTTTTGATTAATTAAAATCCTTTTTAATGAATTATTTCCAAAAATAGTAGGTGTTTCAGTGGAATTAATTTAAAAGGCTTATTGAACCTATAGTAATTTTGATTTTTTGAATGTTTTTTTTTTTATATTTGATAAAAACTAACTAATGAATTTGCCTAAAATTGAAGTAAAAAATGCAATTAAGACAAATTTAACTTGAATAATAATAATAACTTGAATAACTTTTGAACTCGTTCGTTTATCGAAAAATGATAGGAGACATTTTTTGTAGAGCGTTCAATTTCCCACAAGAATATATATCGCGCATAAAAATCTGTTAATTAGTTTGTGAGCTGGAAAATTATAAAGAAACAAAACAAAATTTCCCATGTTATTTAAATGGGAAATAGAAATTCTCGATGCGCGACCTCTAAATATTAAAATTAAGAGCTCCGGTTTTCACAGGTGTCTTTTTTTGGTACAATAAAAAAATTTCAGTGCGAAATTTTAAGAAAGTTGATTTTTTTGAACCAACCTAATAAAGAAAAAATATGCATCAGAAGTTTTTTCTTTCTCTTTAATCAGATTAAATTAGGACAAGTTTACAGGTCAAACATTAAACATTCAATTTGTGTAAATAAATCCAAAAGCTTAGTTAAGATATTTACAATTTGAGCACATTTGAAAGAAATTCACATAAAAGTTGCCAGATTTTGTTTGAATTTACCTTCATTACAAAAACGACATAATCAACAATTAATAAAAACGCCAAATTAACAATTTGCATTGTTGATTTTTGCATTTTTGTAATTAAGCTAAATTTAAACAAAATCTGGCAACTTTTTTGACAGAATCTGGAAACGCTGGTTGTTACCAACCTTAACATAATAAATTAAATTAGGCAACCAGATTAGCCTAAAGTTCCTAGTCGATCAGTGGCGTACTTTTTGGTAGGATAAAGGTTAATATAAATTATTTTTAGTCTTTAGAATTTAGAAGAAAAAAGTTTCAGGTGCTTCTTTATGACCCTAAAGAACTACCAATTTTAATATATTACATTAATTAGATAACACCCTGTATAGAAGTATATTAAACAGAATACAATCCACCAAAGTTATTCAAAAAACAGTTTTTAAAAGACAAAAAAGAAAAACTTACTATGGTCTTCAGATTTACTATCCTTCATTGCCCAACCCAAACTTCTTTTAATGGCCATTTTCCACCTTGAGTATTTCACGTCTCTTGCTAAAAAAATAAAAATATATTATGTATATTTTAATGAAATGTAAAGAAAATTGTTTTTGAGTAGGTATCCAATTTTGAATGTAAAAAACTTGGTAAATTTCATTAAAAACGATAAAATTTAATGTCAAATGAAAGAGCAAAAGTTAAAAAATTTATATAAATTTATTATAAGAATATACATTTTTTAAGGCCAATCAGCTCAGGTTTAAACGATATTGTTAAAAACCTAATTAAACTGAATTAGGAAAATTCAAAGATATATAATACGCACATTTTAACACCTCAGGGTAGTATTCCGGGTCCCTTGTTATTTATATTGTTCATTAATGATCTCCCCAAATACATCAGTGTGGAAAAACTGTTTGTGTATGTTGATGATGTAACTATTGTTGCATATGGCAAGACCAAAAGTGAAATTGTTAATTTAATTCAAACTGTGATAACTGAGTTTAGAAACTGGTGTTTTAAAAATAGATTAATAACACTAGTTTACAGCCATTTTAAACTAAACGCGAAAATCACACTTAAAATTTTTTTCATGAAGCATTTTCGAGATATGAATTTCCAATTGTTTTTTTTTTTAATTTTCTGAGGTGTATTGACGTTTTAGAGTATACTTCGAGTTCTAATTGATAGATGATTGACCAAACAAGCACTTAAATCAAAGGTAATTGAGCCCTCTACAACTTTCTATTGTATAGTTTTGGTATCGGCTCAGTAGTTCGATACTGGCGATTTTATAAAGTTGAAAAAGTCCTTTTTTTTACAAAAATCGAGGTCGAAAATTTATATATCTTTCTGGGAACGATAGAAATCGAAAAGATAAGTCTAGTTTGATTTATTTTACGTATAGATTATACTTAAAGGAAAAAAATAAGCTGTTGTTGATAAAAATCCATGAATAAATGGCATAGTTATGAATTTTTCAGTGGAAGACCATGATAAAAATACCTTGTTGAAATATCAAAAAATAGCAGTAAAATGTCACTACGCCAACACGAGAAACAAAAGAATTCACGTTTGGGAGTCATGTCAAATTTAAATTTTGAATAATGTTTTCGGTGAAAAAAGTACGTAAAAAACTCAAAAAATTACAATAATGCACTTTACTTAGGTTTTCATTAAAGAATAAACATATTACAAAATAAAATAAAATAAATAAAATAAAAATCGTCGAAAAGCTGAATTTTGGTCTTCAACTAAAAAATTCATAACTTCGCCATTTTTCCATGTATTTTTATTAACATTAGCTGGTTTTTTTTGTAAAAATGTCAGCTCCACGAAAAAAAATCAAACTGGAGTTATCTGTTTTATTTAAACCTCTCCCAGGACGACATGTAAATTTTCGACCTCAATTTTTGCCATAAAAACAAGTTTTTTAGGTTATTAAAATCGCTAGCGACAAAATACTTATCAAAAGTATGTAAAAGAAAGTTTTAGAGGGCTCAAATACCTTCAATTTAAGGGCTTGTTTGACCAAATCGATTAATTAGATTTCAAGCCATACTCAAAAACGTCAAAACACCTCCGAAAATTGAAAAAAAACAATTAAAAATTTATTTTTCAAAAACGCTTTCATAAAAAAAAATTAAGTGTGATTTTCGTGTTTAGTGGGTCAAAATACATGTGAAAATTATAATGGGATATGGTAGGCAGAATTTTTTTTCGATTTTGTAAACTAGTGATATTATCGTTTTTTGGCCATAATTCGGCAATTTTTAAAATTTATGGTGCAGAAAATAAAAAAATAGATTTTTGCGTTTATTTTAGTTTTTTTCTAGCCTTCTTAAATAAAAAAATTTAAGATTTTGCAGAAAAATTGAATTTTGCATTACCAAAAGATAATATTACCTACTAATAATAAAAATTCCATATTCCTAACATCGCGATTTAACCAAATTTACTTTTATATTATTTAAATTAAACATACCCTATCCCCTGATCTGACCCCACTGGATTAATTTTTACAAGGATACTTAAAATCTAAAAAAAATCAAAATAAACAAACCATTTTCACTCAAAGAAGGACAAAAAGTATCATTTGGCGCCGACTGTATTTTATCCAGGTTCCAAACTTGTATTCCATCAGCCATTCCGGCTGCTATAGCTGCTCCCAAACAAGTGGTTTCCAACATTGTGGGTCTCACTACAAATAGAAATAAGAAATTTACCATAAAAAATATTTCGTCAAATTGCGACAATACATTTTTTTATAATAATACACTCACAGGCAAAATAATCGATCCACACAAATTTTCGATGAATCGCAAATAACTTTTTTATTTGATGTCGGATTTAAACGAATATTAAAGAATATTATAGATAAATTAATGGACAATCGTTCACATTTTAAAAAATTACTAAAAAAAATAGACGTACGTTTATAATATACAGGTTTAAACAAAAAGATGTTTTTTACCATAAGTTTCAGACACTCTGTAGAGTGGCAAAACCGTATATTGTTCTAAATTAAGTTTTATTTATCAAGTCACATCTATTCTTAACAGTTTTGTTTTTGGTTCACCTCGATATATTTATTTTTGTGGAAAATATGGATTTTTTAAAAAAACATTGCAATTTCCAATATTTTTCCTTATGAAGAACTAAGGTTGCTATGGTCCATCCATAGGCTATGGAGCATGACAGTGACAGTTTTGTTGAATCATCCCATACTTGGACATGTCATACAAGTCTTTTAAAAGCTATCAAATTGTTTTTTGCAAATTAATGTTTAAATTTTGAGGTGTCTTCTTACTTTAAAAAATGGATATGTCTCCGACTGATGTTGCCAGAGCCATTAATTTAATCCAGGATGGACGGTCACAGTATTACGTGGCAAGTGTTTTAAACGTCACAAGAAGTAAAGTACAAAGGGCAACATCAGTCGGAGACATTTTTAAAAGTAAGAAGACACCTCAAAATTAACACATTAATTTACAAAAAACAATTTGATAGCTTTTGAAAGATGTATATGACATGTCCAAGTATGAGATGATTCAACAAAACTGTCACTGTCATCTTCCATAGGCTTTGGATGGACCATAGCAACCTTAGTTCATCATACAGGAAAAATATTGTAAATTGCAATGTTTTTTTTTAAATATCCATATTTTCCACAAAAATAAATATATCAAGGTGACCAAAAATAAAACTGTTAAAAATAGATGTGACTTGATAATTAAAACTTAATTTAGAATATACGGTTTTGCCACTCTACAGAGTGTCTTAATCTTATGGTAAAAACATCTTTTTGTTTAAACCTGTATATTATAAACGTACGTGTATTTTTTAGTAATTTTTAAAATGTCATCAAATAAATCAATCAATAAAAAAGTTATTTGCGATTGAAATTCATCGAAAATTTGTGTGGATCGATTATTTTGCCTGTTAGTGTATTTCGTCAAATTGCGGCAAAACATTTTTTTATAATAAAAAATATCGTTCATCGCACATTTTCGATAGTTTCAGGACTGCTAAAGCTACATTCGTAATGAATTCGCTGGCCGAGTGACACTTTGGCACGCAAGTCGGCACGAAATTTACCATTCACAATAACTTTAGAGTCGAATTTAACGCATGGGCGTTGGTAACTGTCATGTTCTTTGTAAGGTTAGAATTTGCATTATTTTGTTTTTGCTTGGTGTTATTTTTTAAATGCAAAAATGGACAACAATCAATCAAATAGTTTACTTATGTTGTGTAATAGTTTATTTACTGATACATTCTTATTAAAATGTGTTACAAAACACTAATGTTCTCTTTATAATAATACATAATAATAATAATAATAATAAAAAACTAGTATACATTAAGTTACATACATACATTTACATTAACAATGGGTAGTTTATTTAAATAAAGCAAGAAAAATGTATTTAATCACATTAAAAACACTACACACACAAAACTCAACGCCATTGAAAATGTCAAACCTTCATAACAAAGGCAATGCGCATGTCGCATAGCCGGCACGAAAGTCGAAGTTGAAGTCGAAGTTTGCAGCTTGCAAGAAATTTTGCCCACTTCAACTTCCACTTTAACGTCGAATTTCATTGTGAACGATCACACTGTTACACATTTGCTTAGCTTGCGAGTCAAATTGCCACTCGGCCAGCGAATTCATTACGAATGTAGCTTAATAGAAAAACTATTCTTTTTACCTACGGGTATTCCGCAATAATCCGCCTGCATCTGCATCAAGTAGTCGTTGGCGGTCATACCGCCATCTACCAGCATGGTGTGAAGCGGATATCCGCAGTCCAAGGTCATCGCTTCAAGGACATCCCGTACCTGGAAACAAATGCCTTCCAGAGCTGCCTTTATCAGGTGGCCAGGTTTGGTTTCTTCGGTCAGTCCACAAATAACACTAAAATGATTTTAAATTTAATGTATTACCTTTTTGACGCGTAGTAAGACGAAATAAGATGAGTAGGTATAGGGTTTTAATTTTTTTTCCCAGGCCAAATATACACATTTAACGTTAACGTTAAATATAATGTCAATTGGGTCCTTTTTGCAAAAGGAAACCATGAAAATATCCATTTAAAAAATAATGAATGAATTATAAAGATTAATTACAAAATTATAATTTATAATAACCTTTATCCTACCAAAAAGTACGCCACTGATCGACTAGTAACTTTAGGCTAATTGTTGATTATGTCATTTTTGTAATGAGGTAAATTAAAACAAAATCTGGCAAATTTTATAACAGAATCCAGTGCATTTCTTTCAAATTTTAGGTTATGTGCTCAATTTTTAAAGTGCTTTTGGATTTATTTACACAGATTGAATGTTTAAAGTTTAACCTGTGAACTTGTCCTAATTTCGTCTGAGTAAACAGAAAGAAAAAAACCGATGAAAAAATTAATTTTGTGGTTATGGAGTTTTTAAAATAGGTACTAAATTTTTTAATCATTGCTTAAGCTAATAGCTGGATGAGTAAATAAATACAGAAGGGTATTAGAGCATTAAGGGCATAACACTTTTGTATTTATTGAGTTTTTATTTATTTTTTGCAAGAAAAATTTTCACAGAACACAAGTGTGTTTACAACTAGCAACTTCTAATGCATATTTTTTCTTTATTTTTACACCTTTTATCTATCCAAAGGTATTCAGTATTTTACTATTTTACATTAATTACATAACACCCTGTATTATAATACTATATATACTATACTATTATATATACTATAATAATATATATATTCTTTTTTTTTCTCGATATCAGTGTAGATACAGATATTATGAAAAAATGTGTAAATTTTAAGAAAAATTTACTTTAGCTTTTTTTCATATTATAATACCCTTTAAATAAAATGAAAAAACTGCATATCATTTTTTCTGAAAATTTCACCATTTTTCCGAAAATTTAAAATCCCCAGATGAGTAACAAATTGTTAGAATTTTTGAAATTTCTCTATCTCTACTTATATTTCTTATTTCTCAATTCTTGTTTTTCCAAGATTTCTAAAATTGGCAAAGATTTGACAAAGATTTAAGTAACTGTTTTTTTATTTTCTTTGTAGAAAAACTTAAAAATAAAAAAAGAGATCAACTTTGCATAGAATGCTGAAATAGAGGTAATTTTTGTTATAATTTTGTATTTATTTTTTACAAGCGTAGTAACGAATTTACATGACATTTAAATAATTAATATGGAAAATATGTTTTCTACGACCACTATGTAAAAGTCACTTTTCATGATGCCATCGTTGCTTAGAAAATGAATCTTTTCATTGGCAAGGCAAAACACGAATGTAAAGTGACAGGTCTGTGTGAAAAGAACCGGAAAGCATCGTTTGACATTCAGCTGTCAAAAAAGTTTTTAGGTTATTTTGTTTTGTATTTAAAATTAATAAAAAATAAAAGGGTCGCATGAAAAAGTCGCTTTTCAACACTTGTAAAACAAATAACTATTACATCACAATGACTATTAATTATTGCACCCGTTAAAATGCGCTTTTTTAATGAAAATAATGAAAACATAATTTTTTTGCATAATTATTTAGAGAATTAAAAGACCTTTTAAACAAGGTATCACAAATTGTATTTATCGATTATCCTTTTAAAGATATGACAGTATTCCATGGGACACTCTGTAGAATATTATTTATAAAAAATTTATATATGCCATTGTTTTAAAGATTTTAATTTTTTTCTTATAAATATGTAAAAAGGACAGTTTGTTTGTTTAAACTTTATTTACGTTTACTTAAAAATAAGAATATTTGAATTTTTAATAATAGTTTTATAAAAACATAGTAAAAAAAGTATGGTAATTGGACATTTTATATAGTAATTGGACACATGGACCATAGTTATTGGACATACAATTTTTATATAAACATAACAACTTTACATCAAATAACATAAATTGTTAAATAATTTTTAAAGATAAATTGCTGTTTTAGGTATTTTTTTATATTTTGTTTTAGTAAATAACATATAATTTATATATTTCTTTCTCGGATTCCTCATCCCTTTTCTGGATTCTGAAGGTAACTACTAATTCCTTGGTCTGACTTCTGAAATAGTTTGTTGCAAATATCATTAAGTGCGGTAACTCTAGTTTGTGAAGCATTTATAATGTTTAGGCCGGAAGAGGATGATTTATATATATCTAACATTTTTTTGGGTGGTATGTTAAAAGTATTTTTTGAATTTATTAATTTTGTTGCCATTAGTTTTTTATGTTCTCTATCATGCACTGTATTTAAATCACAGTTATTCTGCAAGATGTCCTGTGACGAAGAAATCACTATATTACTTGCTTTCTAAAAATGAATTAGTCAAAAATGTCTTAGCGAAAAAGCAGCCACTAATAATTTTCGTCAACAGCAACTTGTATCCAGGACATTTTGCAGTCAATTCCTATAAAATATTATTTGCTGAATCCAAAAATGTCGCCAAAAGTTATAAATGTAGGACAGTCTTTGAAATATAATCAATTTTACATATAATATGGAATTGACTGTATCTCAAAAACTGCTTAATTTTTATAGTTTTTGGCGGTCTTTTTGGATTCAGGGGACAATTTTACATAAAAATTGGCTGGTTAATGTCTGGGTACAAATAGACATATGTCCAATAATGGAAATTTACATTTTTTACCAACCAGAAATTGGGCACTGACCATTTTACTGTTTGTTTTCAGAATTAAAATTAAAACGCATTAAAGTGACAATGTTTAAACCATGAGGAACCCATTTATACCACACACTGATTTGTACACTTTTTAGAAATATTTTTTATTGTAATTTAAATACAGCCCTGCTCTTAACAAAAAAACAAAAATCTCACCTCCAAAGTAACGTGCGAACTCTTTTGTCCTATATTGGACCCAAAATAAAGTAGTTCTGTATTATTACCGACTGAGTTAGTTATAATTGTATACAGCGTCATCTAATGATTTGACTTTAAGGTAACTATTTATAGAATTCTTGTTTTTACAGTATTAATGTTAATTGTCCAATAACTATTAAGTGTCACTTATCTGTCCACTTTACCCTATTATTTTATTGTGTTACCTTCTTGCATCCTTTCTCCAATATGGAGCATACAAGCCGGAAAACGCTGGCACAAAAGTAACTTCGCCAGATTCTTCTACCGACTGCGCCAATTCAGCGGAATCTTTTACTTCCGGCAATATTTGTAAGTTATCCCGCAGCCACTTCATAGAAATGCCTTCAAATTAAAAAAATGCAATCGTCAAGCAATAAAACATCGTAAAATAAAATGAAACGGACCTGCTATGGCAACAGAGCCTTCCAGAGCATACACTGGCCTTTTATCTTTGCCCAATTGATAGCCTACAGTTGTGAGGAGACCATGTGAAGACTGAACAATCTATAAGTAAAGAATTAAAGAATATTTTGTGGGGAAAAATACACTCACAGGTAAAACAATCGATCCACACAAATTTTCGATGAATTTCAATCGCAATTAACTTTTTTATTTGATTTCGGATTTAAACAAATATTAAAGAATATTGTAGATACATTAATGAAGAATCGCTCACATTTTAAAAATTACTAAAAAATACACGTACGTTTATAATATATAGGTTTAAACAAAAAGATGTTTTTACCATAAGTTTAAGACACTCTGTAGAGTGTCAAAACCATATATTGTTCTAAATTAAGTTTTAATTATCAAGTCACATCTATTTTTAACAGTTTTGTTTTTGGTTCGCCTTGATATATTTATTTTTGTGGAAAATATGGATTTTTTTAAAAAACATTGCAATTTCCAATATTTTTCCTTTATGAAGAACTAAGGTTGCTATGGTCCATCCATAGCCTATGGAGGATGGCAGTGACAGTTTTGTTGAATCATCCCATACTTGGACATGTCATATACAGCTTTCAAAAGCTATGAAATTGTTTTTTGTAAATTAATGTGTTAATTTTGAGGTGTCTTCTTACTTTTAAAAATGTCTCCCAATGATGTTACCCTTTGTACTTTACTTCTTGTGACGATTAAAACCCTTGCCACGTAATACTGTGTCCGTCCATCCTGGATTAAATTAATGGCTCTGGCAACATCAGTCGGAGACATTTACATTTTTTAAAGTAAGAAGAAACCTCAAAATTTAAACATTAATTTGCAAAAAACAATTTGATAGCTTTTGAAAGCCGTGTATGACATGTCCAAGTATGGGATGATTCAACAAAACTGTTACTGTCATTCTCCATAGCCTATGGATGGACCATAGCAACCTTAGTTCTTCATACAGAAAAATATGGAAATTGCAATGTTTTTTTAAAAAATCTATATTTTCCACAAAAATAAATATATCGAGGTGAACCAAAAACAAAACTGTTAAGAATAGATGTGACTTGATAAATAAAACTTAATTTAGAACAATATACGGTTTTGCCACTCTACAGAGTGTCTTAAACTTATGGTAAAAAACATCTTTTTGTTTAAACCTGTATATTATAAACGTACGTCTATTTTTTTGTAATTTTTTTAAAATTTGAGCGATTGTCCATTAATTTATCTACAATATTCTTTAATATTCGTTTAAATCCGACATCAAATAAAAAAGTTATTTGCGATTGAAATTCAACGAAAATTAGTGTGGATCGATTATTTTGCCTGTGAGTGTATAAGAATAATTTACATTATGGCCTGTATTGTATAAAATAAAACATCCTGTGCCATATGTACTTTTAGCTTGTCCAGGTTTTACACACATTTGACCCACAAGGGCAGCCTGTTGATCTCCTAAAACCTAAAAAAATGCTTTTAAGTTTTTTGTATTTTTTCTTTAATTATTATGTTATTTTTTTTTAACTTTTTTGGAAAGTACATACATATTAAACATTTATTTTAAATTTTAATTAATTTTACGAAAATCATAATTTTTTGTTTCTATTCTATTTTCTTTTATTTTGTTTTTTAACTTTTTTGTAAAGTACATAATATTAAATATTTATTTTAAATTTTAATTAATTTTAAGAAAATCATAAATTGTTATAATTTTTAGTATTTTTTCTATTTTTACACTAGTTTACAAAATCGAAAAAAAATTCTGCCCACCATATCCCATTATAATTTTCCCATGTATTTTGACCCACTAAACACGAAAATCACACTCAATTTTTTTATGGAAGCGTTTTTGAAATATGAATTTTCAATTGTTTTTTTTTTCCAATTTTTGGAGGTGTTTTGACGTTTTGCTTGAAATCTAATTGATCGATTTGGTCAAACAATCCCTTAAATTGAAGGTATTTGAGCCCTCTAAAGCTTTCTTTTACAAACTTTTGATATCGGATAAGTATTTTGACGCTAGCGATTTTAAAAAATTCGTTTTTATGGCAAAAATTGAGGTCGAAAATTTACATATTGTCCTGGGAAAGGTTTAAATCAAACAGATAACTCCAGTTTGATTTTTTGTTCGTGAAGCTGACATTTTTACAAAAAAAACAAGCTAATGTTTTGATAAAAATACATGGAAAAACGGCGAAGTTGTGAATTTTTTTGTGAAAGACAAACATTCAGCTTTTTGGCGATTTTTAATTTATTTTTTTTTCTTTTATTTTGTAATGTTTATTCTTTAATGAAAACCTAAGCAAAGTGCATGATTGGAATTTTTTGAGTTTATTACGTACTTTTTTCACCGAAAACATTATTCAAAATTTAAATTTGACATGACTCCGCAAACGTAAATTCTTTTGTTTCTCGTGTTGGCATAGTGACATTTTACTGATATTTTTTGATATTTCAACAAGGTATTTTTATCAAGACTTAGTGTAAAATGAGTAAAATAAGTAGAGAGTTCGAGTGCGTAAATAACCCATACAATCTGGGCGACTTAAGTGATGAGCACGGAGAACGTTTTCACCAGCAAATGAAGGCTATGGAGCGGCGGTATCACGGCTTCTGGGATGCAGCCATGATGGGTGATTAAATTTGGTCCCTCATACGAAAAACGGAATACGAAAGCAACAAAAAACAAAGGAGACAGATTTTTTTTAAACCTATGCTTATTACAACAAAATAAAACTTTCAATTTCTTCAATGTTAAATATTAATTGTTTAATATTCAATATATAATTTAATTTCCATATTTAATGTTTAAAATAAAAAACAATGTTCAATATTAAATTTTATATAATTTAATAAAATGAAGAAAAACGTAAAAATTCTCGAAAAACTGAATTTTGGTCTTCCCCTGAAAAATTCATAACTTCTCCATTTATCCATGGATTTTTATAAACAGCAGCTTATTTTTTTCCTTCAAGTATAATCTATACATTAAATAAATCAAACTGGAATTATCTTTTCGATTTTTATCTTTCCCAGAAGGATATGTAAATTTTCGACCTCGATTTTTGTAAAAAAACAGGACTTTTTCAACTTCATAAAATCGCCAGTATCGAACTACTGAGCCGATACCAAAACTATACTAAAGAAAGTTGTAGAGGGCTCAATAATCTTTGATTTAAGTGCTTGTTTGGTCAAATCTATCAATTAGAACTCGAAGTATACTCTAAAACGTCAAAACACCTCAGAAAATTAAAAGAAAACAAATGAAAATTCATATCTTGGAAACGCTTACATGAAAAAGTGTGATTTTCGTGTTTAGTGAACACAAGAAAATCATAGTGAGACATGGTGGGCAAAATGGCTGTAAACTAATGTAATTATAAATATTTAGAAATTGTTTCATTCACTTTATTCACTTACACTACTATAAAATCAAAACTAGACAAATTTAGAAAAATTTAAACTTTTTTTACAAGGGCAGCTGTTGACCTCCTAAAACCTAAAAAAAATATAAAACTTTTAAATATTTAATAAAATTAAATTTTTTCTGATAATGATGGTATGGTTTTTTTATCTGGTTATACCTTTATTTGAATTTTAAATAATAGGTACCTACTTTTGAAACTTTTTTATAAAGTACCTAGTAAATATTTTTTTAATTTATCATTAATTTTAAGAATTTTAAAAATTGCTACAATTTTCAGATTTTTTCTTTTTATGTATCATTATTTTTTATATTTATAGGGATTATTTCAGTCACTTCACACACTCACTCAGTAAAAATCAAAATTAGACAAACTAAAAAAATATATAAAACAAAATAACAATTTTAGGTACAGTTCTTTATAATCCATATCTTTTAATATACAACTTAAAACAAACTAAAAAAAATTGTGATTTAACAGGTTTTAAAACCAAGCAACATATTACCCCAGATATTGGAACTCCTGTTAATTTAGTGACAAACCAAATGTAACCAAAAATTTCCGAGGAACTTCGTATTTCAGGCAGTATATTCATAGGTATACCAAATTGTTTACAAAGCTGAGAATCCCATTTTAAAGTTTCAATATTCATTAACATTGTCCTCGAAGCATTCGTAACATCTGTTAAATGTAGACCACCTTTTACTCCCCCAGTGAGATTCTACAGTAAAAAAATATTAAGTTTATTTTGTAAAATACAATAAAAATTAATTTACCCATATTAACCAAGTATCAATGGTACCAAACAAACACCTTTTTTCTTTTATAGCACTTTGAACTTCCGGTATGTTATCCATAAGCCATTTTATCTTAAGGGCACTAAAATATGTACTAACAGGTAACCCACACTTGTTCTGCAGAAAATTCTGCTTTTTTTTGCCATTCTGCAATATCTTATCCACTGTACTTGAAGTTCTCATATCCATCCATACTAAAATTTATACGGTAAATTACAAAATAACCTTTCAAGGGTGTTTATACCCAAAGCATTATATAGTGGTTTTCCGGTAAATTTGTCCCATAAAACGGTCGTTTCTCTTTGGTTTGTAATTCCAATAGCGGCGATATTCTCTGGATCAATATTTAATTTTTGTAGGTTATCACAGGTAACATCGATTGTGGTAATAACAGATTCTAATAACAACATGGGATCTTGCTCAAACCATCCTTCCTGAGGTATTATATGATTAACAGAAACTTGATGATAAGTCAAAACTTCCGCCGTTTTAGATGAGAACACCTAAAAATTGTAAATAAACAATAAAATGTTAATAACAATAAAATAAATACTCACCAAGAATCTTGTGCTTGATGTGCCCTGATCAATGGCACCAATAAGCGTTCCGTAAGTAGAAACAGGAATATAGTTGTTGGTTCCATCCATAGTAATTTAAACTATGTAAATCTAAACATTTAAAATCATGATATTCGCAATTTTATATTTTAACATTAGTGACAGTGACAACAACTGCTGCCAACAGTATTTCATGGTTGCCAACATAAAGGTTATGGCGCTAAATTTAAAATATCTTTTGTTAATTTTTGTAAACATCTTATTGTTTGTGTCCCTTTTCTAAAGTGACCTAGTTTTATTCTACTGTCTGTCTCGTCTACTTGGTTACGTAGGATGATGCGCTATTTAATTTTCTCGGTTGTCAAGTGTGGGAGCTTTACAAATATCTGGGGAGCGTTCATAGTTTTCAATCTTTGTAGGTGTAAACTACCTCGTTAATTCATATAAATTGGCTCTCTTAAGCCTGTAATTATATTTCGTACTTAACTTGTTTTGAGAGGGATAATAATTGCGGGGAAAAGCCTTTTGTTCATGATATCATTCGACTAAAAATAGGTAGATTTTGTCTAAAACATTTTTTCATATCTGAAATAAACTGCGCACCACTCAATGTACTCTTTTGGAAAATAAATCATATTTTCGTTGCTAAGAATTCGAAAAATTTGAAAAACGTTTCAAGGTTAAACATAATACTTTATTATTTCGAAGTAAAAACGAAAAAAAAAATATTTTTTTACAAACGGGGCTTGGCTGAATTTATTGAAATTTTTCACCGTTTTACATATCACCCTGTAGGAAATTTAGTTGAAGAACGGTGGGCTTAATATCTATAGCATGAATTGCCAGAGGATGGGGTTAGCAGACATCACAGACCAAAATAAAATCGTTCAAGAAATAAAAAAGTTATGTCGTTTTGAAAAAGGACGAACTTTTTGGTCGCGACACATTGAGTGGTGCGCAGTTTAGATGGCGCTGTAATGAAAAAAAATTAATTTTGTTCGATTTTTCTTCTGTATACGATTCTACAATATTTTTTCTATATAAATATCACAATTTTGGGATATAATTATCTTATTAAATTAAATCTGATTTTTAACTAATATTTAAGTTTCCTTTGGTTTAAGTTTTATACATTATTTCATTCAGTGATAATTATCAATTGCGCACCATGGTCACTTTTTTCCTGCCAGCATTGAATCCTTTAATTTAAAGGATTATTGTACTATTTTTAATAAAAATACCTCATTTAAGGTAAAAAACATTATTTTGTCAATTAATTAATTTAATCCTAATTGAGGTATAAAAAAATGGTATTTAGTTATAAATAATAATTATTATTTAGGTATAAATAAACTATTTATAGTTTAGCATTATTTAATCAATTTTGTTCGAAGATTAATTTGCAAACAAAAAAATCTCCTTTCGGTAAGTGGTTATTCATAATGGATTTTTTAACAGTGGAAGAAAAAATTGAAATAATTTCGTTTTATGTAGAAACAGGCAGGAATCTTGATGATGCTGTTAATATCTACTATGTACAAGTCTTTTATGCAAGAATCACATTTTAGAGAAAATGGCTGATAGAACCATATGTTAAACCAAGGTAGAAATATATAAATATCTATAGGTACATAAGAAAGGTACATAAGTAATAGCTAATATAGGTAGCTAACAACAAACTTAAAAAAAATAATAATTAAGCAAAAGTAACAAATTCAAATTTGGGAAAAAACTCAACATAACTTGGTTATAAAATATACACTAGTGGAAAAAATTAAAGGATCAAAAATTTATTCCAAATTTTTAGCAATTTTTCAACTGTATTTTTGTTAAAAATGGCCGTATCGAAGTTAAAATCAATTTGAAGCTTTAGGACTCTAATTTTGGGCCTTAATTTTCATTTTTTTTGTTTTTTATTTTCTGTGTACGGACATTTTTTAAAACTAAACCACCATAATAAGTTGTTTATCCAGCTTTAATTTGTTGGATGATACGACCATTTCTCGCTGAGCTAATGAAAAAGCATCATTTGAATTTGAATTGAATTTTTTTTGCAATTTTGTAAAAAAAAATCATAACTTTTAATGCCGTTTGGTTTAAAAATGTGAAAAAAGTGGAATTGGGATTTTTTTTTCATTTTATTATGAGCGTTTGAGAGTAAAAAAACGTGATTTCATTTTTTTTTAAATTCAATCGAATGAAACAAAAAAACGGCTGGATGGATCGAATTAAAACTTGCCAGTGTTTTTGTGGGTATATTGAACTATAAAAGCCACACTTAATATTAGTCGTTTTTTTAATAGTCTCCATTCCGTGTGTGATTTTCCCAAAAACCTCCAAACCCCATTTTTTTACGATTTTTCAAAATCATATGATTTCGTAACATATGTTACGAATGGAAAAAAATTGTTTTGATTATTTCCCTCATTATAATATGAACCAATCAAAAGCCTTGAAATTTCGAATAAATTTCGTTTAAATAAGCGATTAAATCAATAGAACTATTTAACAGAGATTAAATTTTAGCCTCCATATTGGATTTTTGTTTACGATTTTATGTTGTTATTTACAAGTTTTAACAAACATTTTCTAAAAAACAATAAAAAATAAGTTATCTAGTTTACGAAATATCAATTATTACTTATTACATACCTTAAATTAATGGAATTTTCTTTAAAGAAATATTTATAAATTTTGACACATACGTCAGATTTTATGAATTGTCAAATAGTTTCCTTTAATTTGAGAAATAATCTAGACGTATATCACTCAACCTATAAATTTAATCTGTCAATCTATGCTCAGTAAGTTTTTTTGTTTGATTTTTCTTTTTGGAAAATAGTTTCATGCAGAATAATTAAAAATAAATCCCTCAACCGCTACGCGTTATTAAATTATTTTGCATTCAACATTTTCCAACAAAAACCAAACAAAAAACTACTGAGCCTGACCGATTAAATTCATAGTTCTCGTGATATAATATATGAAAAAAACATTAGCCGAACCTTGTATACATATATGTAGGGCATTCATTTAAGTTTCTAAAACCGACCTCCAATTTTTTGTGCGACCATTAGTTTCTGGGATATCGATGATCAAAGGAAAAATTATCCAATTTCATTCAAAGCCAGATAGCTCAGCGAGAAATGGTCGTATCAAGGCCTACAAAAAAACAAATTAAAGCCGGATAAACAATTGTTTATCCAGCTTTAATTTGTTTTTTAACCTATCCGATCCATATGGTGGTTTTTTCTACACGATATTGATTGCGCGATACTTGTAGCTGGAAAAAAAGTTCCTTGCTTAAGACGGCCCTGCAAGCAGTTTACTACAAACGGGAGTGTTCAACCGAAAAAAGAGTTTAAATGACTCACTCTGTATAGTAAAGGCAACAGCAATAAACTCTTTGATAGGAAACACATTTAAAAATACTTTAAAAAACATTGGCGCTAAAATCCGGCCACCCTTTAGCGCGCCCGAACCAGCACCGGCAACAACCCACGTGAAAATTTAAAAGGGCAGAGTGCACAGCATCCCGTCAGGTGTCGCGGGCGTTTCTCCGCCGTCCGCCAGGACCGTAGATGCGAACCAGAGAGCAGAGAAAAATCGATATCACCGCCTGCTGCCGTCCTGCTCTAACCGATTTTGGCTCAGCGCACTGTCGTTTGGGTTGAACCTGTGTACGTGCGTTCGCGACAGAGTGTGCGACGAGGTATTTTCGGACCGCCGTCCATCGCAATTTAAACGAATTTTACATCTCCAAACCGAATCAGTTTCTGCTGTGTTTCCGTTAAACAATGTTGTAGTAACCATGATAAAACACTGACTTTGTGTGCGTTGAGTTCAATAGCCGTCATCCGAAAATAGAGCAAGACTCCAAAATGAATCTGACATAGTACTGCGTATCGAAAATGGTGCTCCTGAATATCTGTTTACCCCTGACTATACTCTCACTGGTCCTGCAAAATGAAGCGAAAGAAGCGGTTAAAAAACCGCCAGTAAACACCATCACTATAGGCACCGTAAACAGTGAAAACAGTGAAGACATTTTCGACAGCGATTATTACGAGACCAAGAGGTCGAGGACCAGGAGGAAAGCCCCAGATCGGGGGGGTTTTGCCAACATCAGGAAGAAGCTGAACGAGGAGAAGCGCAGGGAGGAATTGATGGCTTCGGACGCGAATCCCAGGTTGGAGCCCAACTACACAGGTAGGTCATCCTGATTGCTTTGTGTTCCGGAATTTGTGTGATAGGATTCAAGGTCGCGACGAGATTCTTATAAGTCGTGTGGCGTTGCTAGGATAACGATGTGCTCTACTTCAGTTTTATATTAATCTTATCTTTCATCCCATTTTTTTATATAACCTTTATATCTCTTTAATTTATAAACCTAAGTTAGTTAACGACTAGACCTTATTATCCTTTGGTATATCCTGGTTTACCCAGGACAGGTTCTGGTTTTTGTTTATGAGTCCTGGTTTCAATTGTGTACTGGTTTGTAATTTTTTATTATTGACGTTATTAGCACATCTCTAATATAGGTGATCTGATCTAGCACGCACCTCTACATCATTGTAATCTAGTGACTTTCTAGTTACTTTTATTTATTTTAAAACAATGTTTTTACATTTTGGTTATGTTTTTCAAAAACAGTTTTTCTATTGTCTGGAAATACATAATAATAATTACTGGTATGTAGGGTTAATTGAATTTTATTAAATAAAGTTTATTTCAAATTAAATTTTAATAATAATTAGGTACCTATTGTATATTTTTAGCAGCTGACTCCTCACATAAATTACCTATTTTGTATTCCATGTCGACCTCATATCCAAAAAAATTCCATACATAATATTATATTGTAATAAACATTGAATAAATTAGGTTTTGTTTATTTTTTGGGCGAGGGGGGCATGTTGTGTCCTGGTTTTTCATTTTAGAAAGTTGTCAAATTGTTAAATTTTTAGGTCCATTGTTCCCCTGCTGAAATATAACCTCTTCTTGAAGACGCGAAATAATTAAATTGAAATTAATTTTGTCTATATACCTACTAGGTATATACAGGGGCGGACCGTTACCTTTGGGGGCCCTGGGCTAAAGGGTTTTTGGGCCTATACATGTTTGAATTATGTCAAAAATATTTATTATATTTATAGATATTAAACAACTTTTTAAAATAATGCACCTTTATGTATACATACAGTTATAATAAAAAGGGATTAATTTTTTTTTTAATTGAATAGTCTTAGAAGCCTGTTATTATTGTCCCCATAATATAACAAGTGGTATGATTATCATCGATGATATTTTCGAATTGAAACCGAGCTGCAGATTTCACGAGTCCGCAGGACTAGTGAAATGTGCTGCTTCGGTTACATTGAGTAAATATCATCGATAATTAATCGTACCACGAGTTATATTTACTAAGAAAATATAATGAATTTTAGGATTTAACGAATTGTTAGTTTGGCATTTGAAATTAAAATGTGCTTTAAAAAATAAAAAGACTTTAATAAACCTTATTTATTCAAACTTACTTACTTAATTTTATTATCGTTTACACCAACCCATCGATCTTTTAGAGTTTATAATTCATTATTTTAATCATTTAACAAACACAGTATTTAAATGTCAACAAATGTCAAATCAAAAAAAGTGTCAAAATCCTTAGCAACGTGTAAACAAGGTGATAAAAAATATTGCCGCTGTGATAAAATGCGTAACTATGGAATACTGGCATTTTATTGGTTCTAATTATAATGAATTGTATTGTCATCGCGATTTTTTATTTTTTATTTAAATAACGTGGGATTTTTTAAATTTTGGAATTATTTAACAAGGCATATTTTTATAAAAAATCCTTCAATCGTTTTTAAAAATTACTGGTTATCCAAATTAATTTTTTGCAATAAAATTGCTTTTTGCTTGAAATTAATCGTCATTCTAACCAAAAGTATTGATTTGTAAAACCAGTAACTATAGGATTTAAAAATTATAAAATAACATCTTTTAATGAAACCTAACATTACCTACAAAAATGCCCTATATATTTTGTAATAAATCCGATAGATTAATCATAAGATTATAAATTATGTAGCGCGTTTCTAAATGACCAGAAAATATCTCTACTGGTCAGTTTAATCCATTGATCCCATACCTAAATTAGACCATGGGTATATAATGGGATTCTTCTCTGATTTTAGTCACGAATGAGTTTCTAGAAAAGTTTATAAACGAGTTGCATACTTTAATTTTTCTACGACAAATACGATAAATAAAAAAGATTTAAATTAAATATTTGTATAGAGCCACATCTATAAAACAATAGAGTTACCAACTTATGAATCTGTGAAAATGTCAAATTTGTATGTGTAAATCGAAATTTATCCCTTGAAAATAGACTAACAACAGTTTTACACGGTAAAAATAAAGGAAAAGTTTTGTTGATATCAAACAATAAATGTCTTATTTTATTAAAATATTTTTTTTGAAAACCTTTTTTTCAGTCAATGTTCTAGTTTTTAACGATGCCAATATTAAGGCTTGAACTCCTCTCACTACGAAGGTCCTTGATTTTAATTGTTAAATGTAGTATATATATACTATATAGTATATGCTTTTATAACAAGACAAATTTCCTAAGTTCCTAAGCTTTTTAATTAAGAGATGCAGTTTTCTTCTTAAAATCCCATTTTTTGCGCAAACAAATTTTTTCTTCGTTCAAAAGAGAAATATCTTCCGAAGAACTATTTTTGGTTCTTGTACCAAGAAATAGCTTGCTCTTGATTTAAGCTAATATTGCAATATTGAATCTCTCCCCCCTAGTAATTAAAAAAAAATTATGTTAAGATAGTTTTTGATTTAGATTAAGAAACATAGCTCTTGGCCCTATTAAAAAGCGCAAAACTTTTAAATCAAAGTGATTTTCATTTCTTTTAAGATATTATTTTGAAAGCTATTGATATAGAAGATTCTGCAGAGTTACTTTTAAATAGTAAGTGTGGATGTGATGTTTCTTCTGGGCAATCTGAATACAATCAAAAATATGTTCAAGATGATAATCAGAAAACATCAGATAGCATCATCCAGATGGTATCCATGGTACCTTTACTATTTAGTAGTGGCTCTGACTCAAAGACAATTTGGAACATCATATACGAGATGGTGTCGCCCTATCTATTTTGAATTTACAAAAGATTCTCCTGAAAAACTTTTGGATGTTTACAACAAATAACTAATAAAATTTCCCAGTTAAAAACCACAGAACTAACTCTATCCAGAAAAACATACTCTATTAAATACGACATAAAATTTACCATGATTGATAGACAGCACAAATTATAACAAAAACTCCCTCTGCTTCTACATGTTTTATATGTAAACCAAATCCAACAGAGATGAACAATTTACAACATGTTGTCCGTATGTCAACAAATGATTTGAAGAAGCTCTCCAATTTGGATTATCTTCTTTGCAAGCCCGCATTAAGTTTATGGAATGCATATTACATATTGCATACAACTTGGCATATATTTAAAACTTGGAGACAGAGATTTACGAGGTGTGTTCAGAAAATATCGGGAATTTTCGTTTTTTGAAACAAATATTTATTTATTCGTCTACATTAATGTTGTCGCCTTCAAAATCGTCCCAGCGATGCGCATTTAATGTCATTTATGCTTGCAAAACGACGGCCCTTTGAGGTTCTCTTTATTTTTGGGAATAGGAAAAAGTCAGACAGAGGCATGTCTGGCGAATATGGAGGCTGGGGCATCATAACAGTATTGTTTTTGGCCAAAAATTTTGTTCAAAATTTAACAATTTTGGAACAAATTTTGCTGCCACGCGTTTCATACCCAAAACATTTGAAAAAATTTCATGGGATGAGCCAATCGATATACCAACATCATCAGCGACTTCTCTGATGGTTTATAACCATTTATTTCACTTTTTTCATGTTTTTATCGGTTGTTAATGTGCTTGTGCGTTCGGGGCGTTCGTCATCTTCAACGTCTTCACGGTCCCCTTGGAAAATCTTATACCACTTGTAAACTCTTGTTTTACCTATAACAGACTCACTATAGGCCTTTGTTAACATTTCACAGAATTTATTTCATTTTTTAAGCAAAATTGGATACAAATTCTCTTTAATCCATTTCTTTTAACGAACGAAAATCGCCGAGCTCATAAAACACGTCTAACCTTAGCGGCTGCCACAGACAAAGTAAACAGCTAAAGTTTTTATCATACTTCGGGAGCATTTATACCAGCATAATACAACCGGGACCGCGAAATTTAACAATTCCCGTTATTTTCTGAACACACCTCGTACCCCTGATGTTTGACAAATCAACTTTTTATGACATGGAAATAGTTATTTACCTAATTGGTGCGGAAAGTGAGTATTTTCCGCACGCGACTGTCTTTGATGCTGTAGATTTTTAAATGTTAAAATAGATCAGGTAATCCCCAAAATAAAAAACTTTAAATTTATTAACATCTTTGATCTCTTATTTTACCATTTTTGATCCATTATCTTAATTTACAAACTTATTTTTAGAATAATACTCCGAACAAATATAGCAATCTATTATTAATAATGTACTCGAGAACTGTTCCACTTTTTGAGTGTCACTGGAGGATTAACTCTAAATATAGCCTTTATAATAAGGCAAGCAGTTTTTCTCTTTGTACAGTAAAGAAAATTAACTCTAGCTCTAGCTAGACCTCATCCTCATCGAAACACCTTATATAGGCAACAGGTGCAGCGACAGCGGTGAGAGGTATCAGTCCCGTCCCGTCCACCACCGTACGTGATTGAATTTTTTCCGAAAAACGCTGAGCGTAGATATTAACAGCATCATCAAGATTCCTGCCTGCTTCTCCATAAATCAAAATCATTTCTATTTTTTCTTCCACTGTTAAAAAATCCATTATGAATAAATGCTTAACGAAAGGAGGTCTTTTTGTTTGCAAATTAATCTTCGAACTAAATTGATTAAATAATGCTAAACTATGTATAAATAATTTCTTTATACCTCAATAATAATTATTATTTATAACTAAATACCATTTTTTAAACCTCAATTAGGATTAAATTAATTAATTGACAAAATAATGTTTTTTTACCTTAAATGAGGTGTTTTTATTAAAAATAGTACAATATTCCTTTAAATTAAAGGATTTAATGCTGGCAGGTAAAAAGTGAC